CGACCTGCCCAAGACGTCCAAGTGTGGGTATCCGAGAGAAAAATGGTGATTTTTCCAACACTTAAAACTCCAGCCTAACAAGTGTTGGTGTTTTTACTTCCCAAAAAACCCAGCCTGAAGTCTTGCTTTCGGGAGGCTGAGTGGAATATGGATTTTGTTACTAGCTGGAACATCCCGTTACTATTTTTGCTTTAGAAGTGGAGAAGAGGAATCTCTTGTAAGAGTTAGTCCTTTAGTGTAGAAAAATGCTCATTTTGTTTCCTTGCTGTTTTTGCAGGTAGGTTGATGTATGTAAGCTTTATAACGTGAATAAAAGCTGTTCTTCAAACAAGCAGTTGTGCACGTGTCGGTGTTTTAACGAGCAGAGCTTCAGGTAGGTTGCCTGTAAGCGAAGTCTGGAGGGTGCTGTTTTTCCGGTCTGGTCTGAACCCATGAGGGGGTTCTGGGCAGTTAGGGATTATTTTATATTTGTGCTATAAAAACACCAATTGGAAGATAAATTCTTTAGAGATGGTTGTTGGAAAAACAAACTTTATCAGGCTTCTAGGATCTCAAATATGAACCATTCCTGGGAGGTATTGGAGCACAGGAGGACAACGTGGCCTTTCTCTATGTGAAATCCTGGTGCTCTGAAGCAGAGATGGAAGTTGCTCAGTGTAACCTCACTGGGGGCAGAGAGTGTTCAGAAGTTGTAGATAACCATGGGAACGCAGGAAACTCGAGAGTTACAGGATTGAGTTGTCCTTCACCTTGCGGTTTGCTATTTATGGTGAATTGCCTCAGCGGTGGGTTAGATGGAGCTTAAAGCATATTCCCTGGATTAACTCAAAAATGTATGCGCTTTGAGGTGTATAATCAGAAATGCTTTCAACAAGCTATTGTTGGTTTGTATTTAAAGTTCTCGTTTGACAAAAATCTCCTTAAACTATCAGATTTTCTGTCTCCACTTGGGATAATCCGTGTGCTGCGCTTTTGTCGGGTGTTTTACAGTTTGCTTTGTTCGGTCTCTGATCCTTTCTCTGCAATTTATTTTTAGCAATGCTTAGCAAATGATTAAAATTCCTGCACAGTGTGGGACTCGGGAGCTCCTTTCAACCTCTCTGGGAAGTGAGGGAAATCTTGGATGCTTAGCCTGAAGAAGATCAGCTGGTTGGGATTTTAGCATTGAAGTTAAGCTGAAAAGCTCGAGCGGGAGAATGGAAGTGGAATGTGACACGTCGGAGTCCCCGGAGCCTGGCGTGGCTCTGCCTTGCTGGCGTTTGCACGGGCACCTTGCAGCTCAGAGCAGTGTCTGCCCGAGAAAAGGATGGGAAAAGAAAAATCACGTTTTTGTCGGCTGCTTTGTTTTGATCGCAGCTTCTAACTGCACGTTCTTGGTTTGCAAGTTTTGCTTGTTCCTGCTCAGTCTGTAATGACACCTGGAGCTGTGCATGGCAGTAATAGGTGTTGGGTGGCCAGAGAATTGGATGTTTCATCCCATCTTTTTGTCTTCTGAAAACATACTAAAAGTTGAGAGCAATAATTTGAAGAGCTGGAACCTTTTATTTATGGTGAAAACAATTTGTAGCCTCAACAGCTTAAGTACACAGATAAAAATATATATCTGTTTTTAAATTGCTGTCCCTCACTAACTGTTTTTCAGAGTTTGCAGCTTAATCCTCAAACTTAATCCCCATAAAACCTTTGCAAGATGGAGGGATGTGCCTTCTCCATCAGCCTGAGGAGCAAAGAGCAGAACTGAAAGCTTTCAAACTTCCCTTTTCTCTGGTTAGGTTCAAAATCTCTGCTTGTTGCTTAAGGGGAAGTGGTTTGATTTTTAACTCTGCCCATTAAGTTCCCTGAGAGCAATTGATATTAAGCACCTTTGAAAATTAGATTGGAATTATAAGATAGTGATATGTTGTGTAACTAGGTATCCAGCATACCTGGACGTAGTAAGGTGACTCTGCAATGATTTTTGTTGTTCCAGTGGATTTTCCTGCTTGACCAATATTACCTGAATAAGATGAAATTGTCATCCATTTTGCCTTAAGTAGAGCATTAGATTTTGCCAGGAGACCCAAGAGAGTCTCAGGTGCTTGCTGTTGCTCAGGAAGCTTCAGTATTGCTGCTGCCAAACTCCCGACCGACTCCGACATCCGCTCGGAGGTGGTGACTCCAGCAGTGTGTACATGGGGTGGCCGAAGGCGCGCGCTCCTCGCCAAGGGGAGCCCTGCGGCGCATGGCCTGCGGGGCGCTCTCTTGGCGCCAGTTCCCTGGCTGTTTGGGGCACCTTCTTGCTCCCGATGAGGTCGAGGGCAGCAGTTCACCCGCCCGGCTCCACTCTTGGGCGGCTGCCCGTGTTTTCCGTGCAGGAAAGCAGGACTAGGAAGGCCGTGGAGCTGGCGCTGCCGTGGGAGCGGAGCGGGGCAGCGCCTCGAGCCTCCCGAGGCCTCGCGTGAGGGGAGGGCAGCGCCGCGGGTCCAGCCGCCCTCGCGCAGGATCCAGCACCGCCGGCTCCCAAGCGTTGGGAAGAGGCTGGCACCGCACGGATGCCGTCGGAAAGGGCTCCGTGCCACACACCAGGGGAGGAGCGTGAAGAGCCCTGCAGCCTTAGGCACCTTGGTACATGGGAACAGCTTAAAGCGGGGGGAAATATTTTTTTCTTTTTATCTGGGGCATCGTGCTACTCTAGAAAACTACATTTCTTCCCTTCATTCCTGATTAAAAGGAAAAACACCTTTTGAGAGGTTTGGCCTACTAGCCTTGCTTAGCGTAAGAGCCTGTGCTTTTTAAACTCCTTTTCTGGTGCAGGAGCAGAAGCAGGGGCAGCTTCACGTTACCTCACGTGAAAGCCCTGGCGTTCTTGCTTTGTGCCACGTACGAAGCGGTGTTGGCAGTCGCTTGGAGGAGATCACACAGCAGCTTCAGGCTGCTGCAGCTGAGGCCATGTACGTGACTGAGGCCTTCTGTGGTGTCAGCTCTGCTTCGGAGCCGGCGTGATCCCCGTTCCTCGATCATCTGGTGCAATGTTATATGCATTTAACATAACAGAGGTGGCTCACTTGCCTTCGTTTCTGTGCTGAGTAGGGTATGTAGGGTTTTTTGCATGTAAAATCACATATTCCTCTTTGAGGGCTTGTATAAGGTTGTTAGAGGCCTTTGTTTTAAAGAACACGTGAAGTTTCTGGTTACAACTTCTCCCTTTTCTGTCAGAGCAATGTCTTATTCTAGGACTATTTGGGTTCAGTATATTCCCAAATGGAAGGGATTAACAGTGCAGGATAAATGTTAAGTATTCCCTTTGGGAGCAAGTGGAGGGAAGGCAGCAAAGCTAGTGCCATCCATCCAGGTTTAGGCAGGTTAATCCAACGTGTCGGAGCCGCTGGGGAGAGCTCCATGGAAAGCCGGCAGAGGCCAAGTGCCCGAGTGTGCAGCGTTTGGCTTTGAGGCAGCTGGAGTTGTCCCCAGCCCACTGCTCTGTCCCTGACGCGCTGTGGCACATGCCCTCCTATCCAAGTTCTTCCCTACCTCATTTGGGCCGTTTGCCACGTTCCTGGTTTCCGGATGAGCTATCCCAGGGTTCCTGTGGTGTGGAATCGCCTCGAGATGAGGCGGCCTAGGGCAGAGGTGGTTCTGCAGGATGGGTCTGCCCTTACAGACCAGAGCAGAACCGCTCCTCCGGGGAGACCCCGGCTCAGGATGCCCTGTGCTCTGCAGCCAGCTGAAAACAGAGGCCCTGGGTTCTGCCCGGGGCTGCGATATCCTCGGTTACTGCAGGGGAGCCCGAAACGGGGGTGGGTCTGGGCAGGTGAGTGAAGGGCTAAGGCGTTCCGGCTGCGGACACGCAGTCTGAGCCCCAGGTGACAGCGCTTTGGTTTTCCTCCCTGTCCCCCTTTTCGCTGGTTTGGCTAAGGGGCGTTGACATGATTCTTTTTAAAGGGCCATTTTGCTCTGGACGGTGGGCATGTGCCAGCCCGGAGCGCTGCTCCGGTTTGCTCGGCAGAGCTGCGGCGCGTCCCTGAGCGCCGGCTGCGGAAGGCGGTTCGAGAGCTCCCCGGGGCTCCCGGGCATGAGGCCACTCTGCCACCCGTGCCAGCCCGGGGAGGGGACAGGGACGGCCGGCACCGCTGAGGCACGCGACGGGCTGCGAGCGGCGCACGGCGCTCACTTCGTTTGGTAGTAGAAAACTGAATGAAAAACATTGCATAAATGATTTAAAAATAAGCGTTTTAAAATTTGTATCCTTCATCTTGCTCTTCATCCGCTTATATTTCCTCGAAGCGAGGTTAGTGCAGCTCGGTTTGGAGGCGCAGGCAAAAGCTGTGCGTGGCCTCCCTAGAGCCGGGCGGCTGTTTGTGCTCCCTGGGTTTGTGCCTGCTTGGGCTGCTGGGTTCCCTGTGTCCAGGAAAAGTTTGGGCTTGCTACGTCCTCCGAAATGCCCAGGGCTGCAGAGCCCGGAGGGCAGGACGTGCGGGAAGCTGCAGGCATCTCACCGGGTTGAACGGGGCTGCTTTTTTATCCGAATCATCGGCGCTGTCTACACTCAAGAATAAAGAGTCTCCCATTAAAACAAGAGCCCTTTTGCTGACCTGCCTGAGGGTTTCTTTTTGCGTGAGACTTTCCAAGCAGGGCGTGCGGGTCCCTTGCACATGCAGGTTCCGTTCAAAGTGTAGGAACTGAGGTGGCTCCGTGCTGCGAGCACGAATGGAAAGCAGGGCTCTCCCAAAAGCGGGATAAAGCCCGGTCCCGCGAGCCGTGGGCGCCCCCGCAGCCGGAAGCAGCCGAGCGGCATTCCCGGTGACGGCAGCCCCGTTCGGAGCAGGTCGGTGAGTAGGGGGTGGCTCCGCAGGAGCTCGCGCTGCTGTTCCCCGGGAAGGCATTCCCGCTCGCATTCCCGCCCGGGGATCTGCGGGAAGGGGCCGCGTGGGCGCCGCCCCGGGCGGCCCTGCCTGAGCCCGGCTCTCCTCTCCGTGCAGATACGGCTTCGTGGAGTTCGACGACCTGCGCGATGCCGACGACGCCGTGTACGAGCTGAACGGCAAGGACCTGTGCGGGGAGAGGGTGATCGTGGAGCACGCGCGGGGCCCGCGGCGCGACGGCGGCTACGGCTCCGCACGCAGTAAGCACCAACAGGCCTCCGGGCCGGGGCCTCTCTGAGACCAAACAGCTCTTACTCCTTTTTTAATAACTTAAAAAGGAGACGATTTGAAGTTGTGAATAGTGTTCTGTAACTGTAAATGTAATTGTCATTCTGAATATTTATTAACTTGTTTCTTGTATTAAACTGTTTTAATTGATAAATTAATAAACCGTTTCTCGTACCATTTTTTATTATCACTTTATTTAACTCTTTTAATGGTTTCTTTGTAATGTGGTTGTTTAACTAGACTTAACAAAGACCTCAATGTTTGAATTAAGAGTCCTTTGAGGCTAAGCTGGCTGCCTGTTCCATTTGCTGACCTTGGGTTCCCCTTCCACGAGTGGCTCTTTGACCTTTGTGGCCCTTGGCTGACCCAAAAGGAAGCCATGTGACGACCGCAACCTTTACCTATTAGACCTGGGTGGTGAGGACCCCAAGGGGTAGAGACAGATGAGATTAATCTGAAATAGGTGCCTGAAAATCTTTGTTCATATCAGATATTCAGAAAGCCCTTAAGCACTGTAAGTAACACTAGCAAACAGGCTTAAATGATTTGGTTTCTTTTTTCAATTTTATTTTCTAAACAAACTTAATTGCATGTTAATTACAGCTGTAATTATAATACGCTCTGCTTTAATTATGTGCTGGCGTTGCAGTAATGACTTAGAGCTTTGCATCTGTCGAGGCTGCGCGCGGGGCCGCGTGGAGCGGGGCGGGCGACGTTCGCTGTGTTCGCAGACGTGCGGCAGGGCCGGGCGGTCGGGGCCGGGACCGGGGCCGGGGGGAGAGCGGCGCTCCATTTCCCTGCTTGAAGTACTGCTGTCTGCTTGTCACCTCCTAAAGGTGGATATGGTTATAGAAGAAGCGGAAGAGATAAGTACGGTCCTCCGACCCGTACAGAATACAGATTGATTGTGGAAAATTTGTCAAGCCGCTGCAGTTGGCAGGATCTTAAGGTATGGGGGCCCCTTTCTTTACCCTCTCTATTAAAGAGCACAAAGGGTAAATGAGTTAGCTCCAGTTTCCTCAAGAAAAACTCGTACCAGCTCTGTATTCCTCCCTCCGGTTTGTCGAAGCGAGTCTGCGTGCTCCCGCGGCTGCTGCTTTTGGAGCAACGCGTTCAGTCGGTGCTGCTGTAAGCCTGAGTGTTCACAGGCGCTCGGGCCGCACTGGGAGCCGCAACCGCACGGATCTGCGTGTCCCTGGGCGGTAGGCGGGTACTCCCTTCGCTCCACATGGCCCAACAGCACGTGCAGATACTTCCAGTGTTACCTTCAGCCCTGCCAAGTCAGACTTTAAGCAGGGGTAGCAGTAGGGCTTGCGAGAGTCACAGAATTTTGTCCTTGTCACTTTGGATTTTGCTCAACTTCTAAGGTGCTCTTTGGAAAGACAGTGCCATTCTTGCACAGCCTCTGTTGAGAATTTCCACGCTGAGAAACTGCCTTTAGGAAAGTTTCAGGGAAAAGCTGCTTCCACCTCCAAGCAGTGGTGCAAAATCTCTGGTAAAAGCTACAACTCAGTTGGAATCTGAAGGGATTGGAAAGTGATTCTCCGCAGTGGAAACGCGCTGCGTAGGCCATAGCACAGGTGAACACACGTGCAGGGGAAATGCAGGTTCATATTTGTCTCCATCCTGGCTTGGAGGGGGCAGAACAGGGGGCAGATTCAAGCTGTAGTGGTGAAAGGTAGTGTTTCCTCGTCAACAATAGCAGAAATGATTAAAAACACTTGTTCTTACAGGAACGCTTTCATTTATGGCTGTCTTTTAAGGATGTGTAAAATTTGTTCCAAACAAACTTTGACATGTTAGAAACTAGGCTGTGACTGAGTATGTAACTGTAGCTCAGGTGCATGCTGAGACTCCTGCAATGTCTCTTGTTGTTGATGCTTCACCCCTCAGCAGCTTGTCTTTGCTGCTAGTATCCAGCTTGTGAGTGGAGCGTGGCAGGACTGCTCCTCCCCGGGCACGCTGCTCCTCTGCGAACAGCGCGTGCGGGGTGGGAGTAGGCACATCCCAAGGGGAAGGACGGCGTTTCCCCATGGAACGTGGGCCCTGCAGAGGAGAGGGAGCAGCAGGTAGCATGAAGAGGGAGCCTGAAGGGAGCTTTCCCTGCTGGGGGCTTCTCCCAGCAGAACCTGAGGGGCTTCCGAGGTGTAGGATGGAGGGAGGCCTGGGCTCCTGTTGCTTGTTGGATCAATTTGCCTTTCTTTCCTATTAGGTCTTTTTGGTTTTCACCTTTCCTAAGTTACCTTTAACATGTGATTTATAGATCAAGCAATTTTTTTCCTTAATCACTTCTGTCAGTTGAAGCTTGTTGCTGTCCAGAGCGTACTTGATGCTAGAACGTAAGTGTGAGGCCTTAGGTTCTGGTTTAGATGAGAACTCTCAACCCTGCATCTCTGTGGAGCATTACTTGGCTTGCTCAAAACTGTTAGTTCTGCAAATGCTGAGGGTTCAGCCCAGCCTTGCTGACGTGGGCGTGCGTGGAGAAGGCGAGTGATGGGCTCGGGAGGCCGAGCCTGGACTCGAGGCAATGGTTATTCTGTCCTCTTCCTCCAGGATTATATGCGTCAGGCAGGGGAGGTGACATATGCAGATGCACACAAAGGAAGGAAAAATGAAGGTGTGATTGAGTTCAAATCCTATTCTGACATGAAAAGAGCCCTCGAAAAGCTGGACGGGACAGAAGTAAATGGCAGAAAGATTAGATTAGTGGAAGACAGACCTGGATCGAGACGGCGCCGCTCCTACTCCCGAAGCCATTCAAGGTATGTCTCCAAGGTGAAGTCCAGCTGCCATGGCATGAATATACAGCACATTCCCAAACACCCCGCAGGCATTCTGAATTCTCAAACAAATTAACTTTTGGGAATTCACCAGCTGCCTGCGAGTAACTGAGGAAAGCAGAGCCTCTCCGGGTCGTGCTCAGGGCACGTGGGCATCTCACGACCCAACGTCCTTGCCAGGTCCCTCGTCCTCGCTGGCCGCCCAGAGCTCTGCGTGGAGCCGTGCCCCGAGGAGGGCACGGGAGGCTCTTGTGGCACCGATTCTGAGCACAGGGTTTTGCTGTTGGCAGTTATTTCTCAGCTTGGAGATCCCACCTGTTCCCTGTTGCTCAGAAATTTGCAGCCTTTTTGGTAGGAGAGGTAAAAATGCTTCAGCATACAGTAACACCCAAGTATTTTCTCCCATGTACTCTTGCATAGAACTCGCTTTGTCTTGAGAAAGACTCCTCCTCCCTGCCCCAAGCTGGTAGCTCTGCGTTGTCCCTCCTTCCTGGGGATTGCAGGAATTTCCCAGAAGTCCTGGGGACTTCATGCATTTAAAACCTTTGTGAAATATCATTGAAAATGGCCCATGTGCCCAATGGATAACCAGGTGGAAAGGATTACAGGACTGAGAGCCCTAGTTGTGTCTCCTAACTATAGAGCCAGGTAAGAAAATAGTATCCCAGAATATAAAGGAACAGCTGAAGTTTCTTGGAAGGTCACAGACAGGTGGCCATTCTGGGGAACTGGAGGTGGAAGCTCCGTTAGGCCCCACGTCTTTGGGCATCAGCCAACAGCTTTCCATGGGGGAACAGCAGAAAGAACCGTGTTCAAGTGCGTTATCTGCACAGGTCTCTGCGCTCAACCCTGACTCCGCTTGGGAAGCGATTCCCGCGCCCTTCCCTTGAAGGCTGAAGCCGGGCGTCGTTTCGGCGGGGCGGCCTCGGCAGAGCCCCGCTCCCGCGGAGCCCGTCCCAACGCCGCTCTCGTTGCAGGTCTCGCTCGCGCAGCCGACACTCGCGCAAGAGCCGCAGCCGCAGGCAGCCGCTCCAAGAGCAGATCAAGATCCAGGTACGTCTTTGCGGGGAAGCAGCACCCGCTGGAATGAGAGGGATCAACCTGGATTTGCAGCGGGGAAACCTCACGTACGGTGTTTAAGCACTGCTCAAAGCTAAGCCGTGCTAAGGGGAATCACTCTTTTGTTTTTACTCTTTCAGGTCTGTGTCCCGTTCCAGAAGCAAGAGCCGTAGTCGAAGCAAGAGCCGTAGCAGAGACCAAAAAGAGAAAAGCAGGACTCCAAGTAAAGAGGATAAAAGTAGGAGCCGCAGCAGGAGCGCAGAGAAATCACGGAACAGAAGTAAAGACAAATCTGAGGATGCTCTCCATAACAGTGATGAGAAAGCAAAGAGCAGGAGCCGCAGCAAGGAAAAGAGTAAGAGCAGGAGCAGAAGTGGGAGTAGAGACAGGGGAGAACAGAGGGAGAGCATGAGGAGTAGGAGCAAGGAGAAGAGCAGGAGCAAAGACAGGGAGAAGAGCATTAGCAAGGCTAGAAGCAGGAGCAAGAGCAGGGCCGAGAGCAGGAGCCCTAGTAAAGACAAAAGGAAAAGTAGGAAGAGAAGTAGGGATGAGAGCAGGAGCAGGAGTAGGAGCAGGAGCCGCAGCCAGAGCAAGAGTGAGAAAGGCAAGAGGTGCAGCAAGCGGGACAGCAAGCCCCGGGGCAGGAAGAAAAGGAAGCACAGTCACGAGCGGTCCAGGTCAGGCTCCAGAGAAAAGGAGCATCAAAAATCGGAGTGTGACAAGAAGGAAGCAAAAGGGGAGGGTGAGGATTCAGGGGTGCAGCAGGTTTCTCGCTCCAGATCTAGATCGAATTCCAAGTCAAAACCAAATATCAAATCAGATTCCCGTTCCAGATCAAAATCTGTTTCAAAACCTAGGTCTCGGTCCAAGTCTCAGTCTAGGTCTGCGTCTAGGTCACACTCCCGATCACGGTCAAGGTCTCGCTCCAAATCCTAACCTTGCTGCAACCACACGTGGAAGTATTGGAGAAGTCTTTTGTACGTGTTTGGTAGTTGTAGCACAAGTGATTGAAGTAGAACACGTGTCAAAGCTGTGTGTTTTTAACAACCCTGGTGGTGTCTACCCCTGTTACTGCAGTGCTCGCTCCCTGTCATGCCCCCGGGCGCAAGGCACTTGCTCTCTTGTAGAAAGACTCCCTTTAACTCTTCCTAGAGCACTGAAATGGTCCTGTTGTCCCAACTCAGCCTCGCAGGGAGCAAGCACTGCGCCTTGGGGTTAGGAGAGTGCAATGGGGACTGATAGGTGTGATGGCTTCAGCCATCATCGCCCTTGAATTGATGCCCTTTGATGTATGTCATTTAGTGGAAGTGCAAAGTCTTAAGTTTCTTACTACTTTTGTTTCATATTTTTGGACTTACGGAGTTGTGAATAGCACTGTCAAAAGGAGAGAAAAAGGGAATATTCAAGGGAATACTTGAAGTAATCCATAGGGGAAAAATAGTAGAGTTCCATATTCTGGTATTGTGACAATATCCTTGTTTTATATTATTTTTTTTTAATTTTATTTTTCCCCGTCTTGCAAAAGTACAGTGATACCTGTTTCCATGAAACTTGAATAAAGACTATTTTTGCTTCATGACATTTTGGTACTTGGTTACATGAAGTTGTGTTGCCACTTATTGCAGTAAACCTTAATGCAAAGCACAGGTAGTCCCAAAGCAAGAGTTCTTCATTTAAGAAATGGCATGATCTTAAATGTGATCAGGATATTCAAATGCAGTCCAGTTTGGGGGGCGGGTAGAAATCTGTGCCTTGCGTTTTAGTTCTTATTTTAGTCCAAAGGAAAGTTTGGCTCTTGCTTTATCAAATATTTCCTGTTGCTATTTACCAGTTGCCGTCAGCATTTTCGATGGTAGGGTTTATTACAGCTAGATGCTAACTTCATAGCAGTCAGTAATTTTGTATAATTTGATCGTTTGAAATTTGTATCGTCCTATTAAAAAGATGAAAGGGTGTTAAGCGATAAGAATATTTTTGAACACAAGCTATTTCCATCGAGTTTAAGTGGGGTCAGGGCTTGTAGAGTTTCTCAGACTTTATCAAATAATATGTTGCTAGAGCACCATGAGAAAGCTCTGAGGAAGAAATATTTAATTTCTTTAGAAGTAAGGAAAAGGCTTTTTCGCCTATAAACCTAGCGCTTTAACAGCTCAGGCTATCGTAAAATCACTAATCTCTTCTGCTGCTTAATCTCTGTGTAGAAACAAGCCAGGCTCCGGAAGATGTTTGCTAATAGGAGATAATTAGCTTAAAAATATCTTTACCAAAATCACAGACGAGCAAGTCTAGGGCGAGACGTGAAGCTGTGCGTGCGGCCGGGGCGGTTCTGTGTGGAGTGGAGGCGCTCGGCTCGTCGGGATCAGCGGCACCTCTGGCCACCTCAGGGCCCCGTGTTGGAGATGGGGCCCGGGGACACCTCGAGCCGTGGTGTCACCTTCTTGCTGCGTGTGCCGGGAAGGGCCGCGGTGGAGCCGGGCTGTGGGGCTGGCGCTGGGAGCAGCTTTCCATGTGCGCCCGGGGAAGCCTCCGAAGAGGAGGAAGTCTCTGGGCACCACCAGCGAGCAGAGCCCTGCGCGGGGCTGCGGCTGCGGAGGAGCCCGAGGGAAAAGCCAAGCCGGCCACGCGCCTGGGCCAGGAGCCGGGACGCAGCCGGGCCAGGCGAGCAGCCGGCCGCGGCCGAGGCGCCTGCAGGCCTCGCAACCGAAGGGGCCTTCCTGGCGCTGCGCAGAAACGAGAGCCTGAATAAACCTGAATCCCAGTCACACGTAAGCTCTGGAGCTGCTTCGTCTTGACCAAAAGCTGTATTATGTTCCACACACTTAGTATTACTTTTATTTTGTTCCAATAATACTCACAACCAGCAAGATTGAGGGTCTGTAGATACCCCAGTGCATCAGTGTTGCAGTAACATCTGCCTTCAGCCATGGCTTGTGCTCGATGCTGAGTAATGTAATTATAAAGGCCCTAACGAGTTCCCAGTCTCCAAGAACATGTGCTTTAACTAACTGCTCCTGACTGATGATAAGTGCAAATCAATGAACTCATTTACAGACCTTATGAGAATAATTTCAAGCTCAATGTCTTTCTCTTTAAGGTAATTTAATGCACAGAGGCCCTGACTTCAGGAGGAGTAGCTGGGATTGCAGCGGCCGGGGCCTGCGGGACAAGTGGCTTCACCCACTCTCCAAAGCAGCCCCTGTTCCCGCAGGTATTCCAGCATCCACCTCCCCTTTCCCATTCCCGCAGGTATTCCAGCATCCGCCTCCCCTTTCCCATTCCCGCAGGTATTCCAGCGTCCGCCTCCCCTTTCCCATTCCCACAGGTATTCTGACGTCCACCTCCCCTTTCCTGCCGGATGGTTCACCCGGGTGGCACTGACAACATTACAGAGATCCCGAATTTCTCTGTAAATGCTGCCGTGCCTACGCTTAAGCGCTGGCCAGGAGCGTTTGCAGAATTAGGGTTTTAGACGCCCACTGCTGATGCAGATGAGGTGAGAAACACACTTGTTTTCTGACTAATTTTAAAGACAGTGTTGGTTTCTTAATGCGCCCCATTCTAGGGGTGAGGAATATTGCAATGCATATTTCAAATGAGCCATTTCAAATCTCATTTATTATTTTTTTTTTCTGAAATCTCATTCCATTTTAGTTGTCACAGCTTGAGGCCTGCTCAGGATTTTATTTTTTTCCCTCTGCCTTGCCAAAGGAAAAAAGAAGTGTCATTAAAAAAACACCACCGCTTCTTTTATTGTTTCGAGATTCAAATACAAACGAAAATAACACTAGCAGATAAGATGAAAAACAAGCTTAACGAATGCAGGGAACCGGTACCATATTTGATGTTAATAATCGATGGGGGAATCAGCAAAATACAGCTGTCTGTCTTGGCTGCAATCTGTTGGCTCCTGCCGGTAATATCTGCTTAAATCTCTCTTCCCAAAATCTCCAGTTCACACATTAATGTGCTTTAATATCTTAGGTAAATCTGCAGCCTCACACGTTTAACCCAGCAGAAAGGGGCACGCAGGCTGCTCCACGGCCACTTTTCCTTGCAAATAAATCAACGTCTTCGTTATCTGCCTGCTGTGTCCTCGTCTCAGTGGCCCAAAGAGGGGGATTCCTAGAGACAGACTTACCCGGCTGGGTGTCCCCTGTGCCGTATCCGCACTCTCCAGGTTTTGCAGACCCCGGTCCCCGCAGGACCTGCTGGGGATGCTGTGGGTCCCCTCTGTCCCGCCGCCCCTTTCCACCCTATGGAAGGGCCTGAGGCCCTATGGGGTTTCGTTGTCCCCACTTGAGGCACTGTCTCTTGTGGTGCCAGAGCAGCCCAGGTCCCATCCCACTATCCCAGCCCCATCCTGCCCCAAGGGTCAGCCCCAGTATCCCATCCCTGACCCGGCCTCCCAGGCCCAATATCCCATCCCCATCCCGGTGTCCAGGCGCCCAGCATCGCATCCCAGCATCCAGACCTGCCTCCCGGGGCCCGCACCCTGTTCCACCGCAGCTCCCAGTGCCCCAGCCCGGCTCCCACATCCCAGCCCAGTATCCCAGCCCCATCCCACTCCCGTACCCACCCCGGGCCCCCTTCCCCATCCCGGTGCCCCATCCCCGTCCCTCACCCACCTCCCCTCCCAGCCCGTGCCAGGCCCCGGCCCGGCCCGCTCCCCAGCGAGGCCGAGAGCGGCACCGGGGCCGTCGCGCATGCGCCGCGGGGCCGCGGCGGGAGCAAATTGTTGCCGGAGTTGAGGAGAAGCGGCCGGCGGCGGCGGGAGGCGGCGGGAGGCGCCCCGGGCCCCC